ACAGCAGGAGTGAACAGTTCTGAGACTTTACAGCCCACACAGAAAGCCAGGGCAGGGCAAGAGCCACAACCCAACTCCCTTCTCTGCTGGGGTAAGAGTCAGCTGAAGGTGCAGTGCTTGTCAGGGGCTCACGGAAGGAACCAGCACAGGAAAAGAGGAGGTGGGCCTGAAGATAAAGCCTCTTTTGGGGTCACCTGCTGGGCCATTAGCCCCCTGGGTGGTGCAAACACTTTAGCACCCAGCCATTAACCAAAGGCTTGGCATGTCAAGTGCACCCAGAAGCACCTCACAAGAGAGGTTTGGCAATCTGCTCCCAAAGCTCACAGCCTTTGAAAACCCCATGAAGCATGTTCTACTGACACGCGTGGGTCGGCATGAGTCAGAACCGACTCAGCGGCAACCAGTTTAGTTCTTTCAGTTTGGGGCTGGTTTTCCTAGAGGGTTACTAGAAGGGGACCTTACAGCCAGGCCTAGATGACAGATGAGTTCCTCTGGGGTGCAGTGCTAAGAGCACACAAAGACATGAGCAGAAGTTACCAAACGTACCCTTGTGCCTTGAATCTTTCCACATCTTCTCCAGGGTTCCTGCCTCCGATCCAAAGAATCTGGCTGAAATGAGTAACAGGTCTTTGAGCAAATTAGGCAAAGTAACAGTCCACCATCAACAGGGACACAGCATTCCATTACCTAAGCTGAGGGAAGTGCTTCGTGAAGTGCGAGAGGACCTCGTCTATCTGAACAGCCAACTCCCGCGTGGGCGTGATGACAATGGCTCCAACCTGCCCAACAGAGGGAAGTGACGTGATAAGCTGCACCCGTCCCCTCCCTCTCCAACAAGGCTGCCACTGAGTTAGTCCACAGGGTCTCACAGCCCCTCTCAAGCTCTTTCAGGACCACCAGTCACAGTGCAGGCAAGCAGTTGGTCCTGCCGCTCACCGACCCCGCGTTTGTGACATAGCCAACTCACTAACATCTACTTGTAACTCAAATGCTCACGGCACTTTCATGGTCATTGAACCATTTGAGTTAGTTGATGCGCACATTCCAAGCTGACGTCGAACGAGGGGACACTGTGCCCTCTTGTTTCAGCTCTAGGTTTTAAACAAGTGTCCTTTGCACTATTTAGTGCCACGTTTGTCTCATGTTTTCACTTTCTGTCGGTGATGTCACTGTTTAAAATGGCCCCCAAGTGTAGTGCTGAAGCACTGTCGAGTTTCCTAAGTGCAAGAAGGCTGTGATGTGCCTGACAGAGGAAATACAAGTTCTAGATAAACTCCATTTAGGCCTGAGTTATAGTGCTGTCAGCCATGAGCTCCATGTAAACAAAGCAACAATATCTATTAAATAAGGTGTCGTTAAGAGAAACCCGCATACAACAGGGTACTGTAGTGACTGCTTGAGGAAAGCATTGGGACCACAGGGTCACACTTATCTAGCCCTGTTATTTCCACTGGAATAATGGTTCCACCTAAACCAAACCAACTGCCCTGGAGTCCGTTCCAACCCACAGTGCCCCTACAGGACCTCATCAGGTTTCCAAAGCTATAGATCTTGACAGAAGCAGACTGCCACATCCTTCTCCCATGGAGTGGGCTGGTGAGTTCGAACCATCAATCTTCCGGCTAACAGCTGAATGCTGTAACCACTGTGCTACCAGGCCTCCTAAATGATAATAGTTCAGTACTCACTAAATCACTATTGGCAGTGGCATCATAGAACATAACTACAGTGAATAATGAGGACTGACTGCACCATGCATTTTTTTCCCCAAGTTTGTCACCAGTTTCTCACTCAAATCCAAACTCTCTGAAACGAAATCCCTAGGTTACACTCACCTGGCTTTTTTTTAACTTCTCCTCCCTTCTTAGAAGAATTTCTAGGACAGGAATGACAAAGGCGAGGGTTTTCCCACTTCCTGTGACCTACAAAGGGGGAGATGGTGTTGGTCTGATTTCCCCAAAGGTGGTTTTGGGGAGACACTTGAGGACAGGCCCCCTTTCCACCAGACACTCACCGCTTCAGCAGCCACGTCTTTGTTTTTCATGAACAGAGGGATGGTCGCAGACTAGAGGGAGATGGCAAAGCGACTGGTGAGAGAAGGCTACGAACACACCAAAAAATAACCAAACCAAACTCACTGCCATCGAGTTGATGCCGACTCACAGCGACCCCACTGGGTTTCCGAGGCGGTAAATCTTTATGGAAGCAGAGTGCCCAGTCTCCCTTCTGCAGCCTTCTGCAGAGTGGCTGGTGGGTGTGAACCGCCAACCTTCTGGTTAGCAGTCAAATGCCTTAGGCACGGCATCACCAGAGCTCCTGTACAACCCACGGAGGAGGCTAAAAGCCCTGGGAACTCAGCTGGGGTACTGTGGTGGCCCAGGAGACGCGGGGTAACGTCTGGAGGTATTTTAAGCTGTTAAAACCTGGAATGGGTGTAGAAGCCAGGGATGCTAAATAGCCTATGACGTACAGGTCTGAAGGAGCAGGGGGTTTGGTTGTTTTGCTTTGGCACAGGTCCAGACTGTGCCCTCTGAAGCAGAGCCTAATCCTGTGTACACACCGTGCCCCAGGCCTGGCATGGAGCGCTCCCAGTGTCCAGCCTCCCTGCTTCCCCCACCTGCTTCCCGCGAGCACGTCCATCTCAGCATCTCAGAACACAGCTCCTGACCCTCCCTCTGACGCCTGCTGCTCCTCCATCTACCCTCAACTCTGTAAGTGGTACCAGCATCTAGCTACCCAGCTGCTAAGGGCAGAAACCTCAGGTCCCTCCAGATTCTTTCGTAGCCCCAGTATCCAGTCCCTCGACCCCACAAGCTATCCTGAACATGACTTCTCCACACGCACTGTCTCCACCCCAGCCCAAGGCACCATCACCATCCACTCCCCGCTGCCCTACTTCCTGCCTCTCGCAAGTCCTCTCTGGAAGCAAGAAATCAGCTCCCCTCCCTCCCTTTTTATATGCTTTAATGGCATCCGTTGCATTTATAATACAACCCGAGTTGCTGCGAGTCCCTGCACAATCCCCCCACCTTTCCTCCTCTCCTGAAGTATCTGCCGCCAAGGCTCGCCTTCTGTGCCTCAGAGCTCAAATCCAGTCCCAAGGCTTTCTGCACCGACCCTTCTCTCCACAGGAACAATGTGCCCCCAAGCTAATGCACAGCTCATGGGAGTCTCAGCTCAAGGACACTTCCTCAGAGCGGCTCTCCCTTCCGTCCCACCCTGTCCTTCCTCTTCACTGTCTCCCATCAGTGGGTTTCGGTTCGCCCGACACTGATCACCAGCAGACATTTACGCGGTTACTCCTCTCTGTCTTGCACTAGAACGCAGAGTTCATGAATGGGAACCACATACTGTGTTCACTGAAGAGCCCTCGGAGTCTAGAAAGTACTACCCATACCCAGTCGGCCTTCGGTTAAGTATTTACTGAATAAATGAACACACCGGGCCAGTACACTTCACTCAGCGCACATAGCACAGCAGGGAGTATGTGGCCAGTCTCATTGAATCTACGCAACAACCCTACGACGCAAGTCACGTCATTCTCGTACTTCAGAGGCAAGGAAAATGGAGCACAGGGAAGCTGTCACTGCTCGAAGTCTCAAAGGTAGACGAGACAGGGCCAGGCTATCGGGCCTCAGCGCGGCCAGCGGCCACCTCCGCCCGCCTGGGCAGCGATCAGCTTCGCATCACTCGAGACTGAGGAGCCAAAGGGCGCAGCCAAAGCTCGGGCTGGAGGGACGACAACCTAGTTCTGTCACCTGCCGTTTGTGTCCTCACTCCCCCTATCCGCCCACCGGGGAAGGAGGGTCCTCGTCACGCCGGATGCGCGCCGAGTACCTGCACCGGGGTCATGTTCGGGAAGCCCAGCTCCTGCAGCGCACCAAGCACCCGCGGGTGCAGCGGTACCGGCAGTGACTCCCAGGAACCCTCCGTCACGTGCTCCATGGCGCTCCGCCGCCGCCGCCACCGCTCGGACAGCCACAGAGCACTTCCGCTTCCGGCCGCCAACTGGCCGACCAGAAATGCTGCTCCAGCGGCAACGTTCCGGAAGGCGGGAAGTCTCTCGGGGGGACCCGTTGGAAGATGAGAGCTGGCGTGAGAGCGGGCGGCAGAGGCCAGGGTGGGGTTGTAGCACCAGCGCCCGGCCACACCGAGCGGGAGTTTCGGCATGAGGGATTCTGCTCCGGTTCCCGCACTTTCTCCGCGCGTCGGAGGCAAGTGGCCGCACAACAGGGCAGTGGGGCTGGCTGGAGAGGACAGATGTAGGCACCCACACCTCCCTAGCCGGGATCCCCACGTTAGCAGAAGTGCAACAGAGGGTTGAGGGTTAAGAATCCAGTGCCTGGTACATAGTAAATGTTGGGTTATTTCCGAGGAAGTAGCGGGGCCCGAGTCCTACGCAAGAGCATCTTCCCCAGCGACTCGGGCTTCCATTTGCCCATGCACATTTCCTTTCTTGGAGCTCTTGTTGTTGTTGCTGTTATGTGCCCTCGAATCGGCCCCGACTCATAGCGACCCCTCCTTGGGTTTCCGAGGCAGTACTCGACAGCATATAACAACAACAACAACATCACTACAGAAGTAGGATTGCCCAACCTTCCTTCCAAGGAGTGGCTGGTGGGTTTGAACCGCCAGCCTTCCGGTTAGCAGCTCTTAGTGACCAGTTATGCGCTGGGCTCTGAGAACTTACCTCCCCAAGTATGTGCATGGCGTGCATCTCGCATGCTGAGGCTTTTCAGATGGCGCCTTCTCACTGATGCTCCACTTTCCTGACCAATAACACTCCTTACCCTACTTTATTCTTATTATTTTAATAGCACATATCGTTAATATACTACATAATTTATCCATTAGGTTCATCTCTCCCCCACCCCCGCTACAAAGTAAATTTCTTGACAATGGGAATTTTTCTTCTGCTTTCTAACCGAGTGACTAGAACTGTATAGCACACAGCACTCAACTCGAATATTTATGGGATGGATGAAACGAAATGAAAATCTGAAGCAAGGTTTTCTCTGAAATAGGATCATCACACCATGAAGACAACTTAGGCAACTGTTTCATAAAACGGGACTTGCAGAGACAGCCCTGAGCAGGAGGGAAAGAGCAGCTGTGTGTGGATTTTAGGCCTTCCTACTTAGGCTGGGGTTTGGGGGCCCTTTCCAACCCAGTTTCCTCACTGCAGAATTAGGATGATACAGAAGCTGAGGAAAGGGCTATTTTGAGGGGTAAATGAGATACACCATGAAAAGCACTGACCACTGAGCCAGGACATTACACAGTGCTCCCTGAACAGGAGTGGCTCCTCCGTTTAACAGAGGAAGGGGAGAGTTTACAAAGGCAGAGACGCAGTCCAGTTCTCCCTCTCACTGTGTGTAAGGACCTTGGGAAAAACATGGCATCTCTAACTGCATCTCCCACATCCGTAAATCATATGACTGACTGAAAACATTCACACTTTTTCCAAATGAAAACAAAACTTAACACCAATCCAACTTTTTTATGGGGACCAGCGCTTGGAGGTTGCTTTTCACTTGGAGGTGGCTCTATATTAAGACCAGGACCTGAGATAGGCAGACCCAGGGCTTGGAGGCTGCTTTTTGCTTGGATACGGATCTATATTATGGCTGGGAACTAAGTTAGGTGAGCCTGGGGCTGGGGGCTACTTTTCACTTGGGTGTGGCTCTACATTAGGGCCATTGCCCAAGGTAGGCAGATGCAGAGGGGTTAGGAACAACTAAGGGAGACAAACTTGCCTATCAATTTGTGATCCTGTGGTGGCTTACGTGTTGCTGTGAGGCTGGAAGCTATACCACCATGTTGCAAAATGCCAGCAGGGTTACCCATGGTGGACATGTTTCAGCAGACCTTCCAGGCTAAGACAGACTCGGAAGAAAGAAGAGGCCATCTACTTCTCAAAGAATTGGCCAGTGAAACCTTATGAATAGCAGTCAAACACTGTCTGATATATTACTGGAAAACTTTATGAATAGCCCTGAAACATTGTCTGACACAGTGCCGGAAGACGAGCCCATCAGGTCAGAAGGCACTCAAAATTTGACTGGGGAAGAGCTGACTACTCAGAGATGACCTTAACAGTATGGATAGAGTAAAGCTTTCGGGACCTCCACTGGGTGATGTAGCACGACTCAAAATGAGGAGAAACAGATCCAAACATCCATTAATAATTAGAACATGGAATGTTTCAAGTATAAATCTAGGAAAATTGGAAGTTGTCAAAATGAAATGGAATGCTTAAAGGCATTAGTGAGCTGAAAAGGACCAGTTTTGGCCATTTTGAATCAGATAACCATATGGTCTACTATGCTGAGAATGACAAATTGAAGAGGAATGGCATTCATCATCACAAAGAGTGTTTCAAGATCTGTCCTGAAGTACAACACTGTCAGTGATAGGAAAATATCCATACGCTTACAAGGAAAACCGGTTAATACTACTATTACTTAAATTTATACCAACCACCAAAGCCAAAGATAAGGAAACTGAAGATTTCTACCAACTTCTGCAGTGTGAAATTGACCGAACATGCAATCAAGATGTGATTATCACTGGTGACTGGAATGCAAAAATTGGAAACAAAGAAGAGTTACTGGTAGTTGGAAAATATGGCCTTGGTGATAGAAATAATGCTGGAGATCACATGACAGAATTTTGCAAGACTTATTCATTGCAAATACCTTTTTTCAACACCATAAGTGATGGCTATACACATGGACTTCACCAGGACTACACAGTAATCAGATGAACTGTATCTGTGGCAAGAGGTGACAGAAAAGCTCAATATCTTCAGTCAAAATGAGGCCAGGAGCTGATTGTGGAACAGACCATCAACTGCTCATATGCACATTCGAGCTGAAGTTGAAGACAATTAAAACAAGTCCACGAGAGCCAAAATATGATGCCTTGATAATATCCCTCCTGAATTTGGATACTCATCTAAATAAAGAATAGATTGATGCACTGAACACCAGTGACCAAAAATGACAGGAACTATGGGATGACATCAAGCACACCATCCATGAAGAAAGGAAAAGGTCATTAAGAAGACAAGAAAGGAAGCAAAGACCAAAAAGGATGTCAGAAGAGACTCTGAAACTTGCCCTTGAGCAGAGAGTAGCTAAAGCAAATGGAAGAAATGACAAGATAAAAGAGCTGAACAATTTCAAAGAACAGCTCAAGCAGACAAAGCCAATTACTATAATGAAATGTGCAAAGACCTGGAGTTAGAAAACCAAAAGGGAAGAACATACTCAGCATTTCTCAAGCTGAAAGAACTGAGGAAAAAATTCAGGCCTCAAGTTGCAATACTGAAAGATTCTATGGGCAAAATATTGAATGATGCAGAAAGCATCAAAAGAAGATGGAGGGAATACACAGAGTCACTGTACCAAAAGGAATTGGTCAATGTTCATCCATTTCAGGAGGAAGCATATGATCAAGAACCAATGGTATTTAAGGAAGAAGTCAAAGCTGCACTGAAGGAACTGGTGAAGAACAAAGCTCCAGGAATTGACAGAATACCCAGTGAAGTGTTTCGACAAACAAATGCTGCACTGGAGGCACTCACTTGGCTATGCCAAGAGATTTGGAAGACACTACTTGGCCAACTTACTGGACTAGATCCATATTTGTACCCATTCCAAAGAAAGGTGATCCCACAGAATGTGGAAGTTATCGAACAGTATCATTAATATCACATGCAAGTAAAATCTTACTGAAGATAAATCAAAAACAGTTGTAGCAGTATACTGAGAGAGCGTCCAGAAATGCAACCTGGATTCAGAAGAGGACGTGGAATGAGCGATATCATTGCTGATGTCAGATGGATCTTAGCTGAAAGCAAAGAATACCAGAAAGATGTTTACTTACGTTTATTGACTATGCAAAAGTATTCGATTGTGTGGATCATTAACAAATTGTGGATAACATTGAGAATGGGAATTCCAGAACCCTTGATTATACTCATGAGGAACCTATACATAGATCAGGAGGCTGTCATTCGAACAGAACAAAAGGATACTGCATGGTTCAGAACCAAGAAGGGAGTACGTCAAGGTTGTATCCTTTCACCATACTTATTCAACTTGTATGCTGAGCAAATAATCCAAGAAGATGGATTATATGAAGAATGTGGCATCAGGATTGGAGGAAGACTCATTAACTACCTGCAATATGCAGATGACACAACTTTGCTTGCTGAAAGTGAAGATGACTTGATCAATCACAGAAGAACAAATACTTAGTAGTCCGTTATTGTAAAAAGTCAAGGAAAGGTTTGTATACGGAAGGAAATTTTCTTTGTTGGCTACCAGGGGTGGAAGGGGAGGGAATACTGTTAAGACAGATAGAGATAAGTATTGATTTGGGTGAAGAGAAGGGCAATGTACCAAATATGAGTGATCAAATATGGTGGCACTGAGGAAGAGGAAGACATAGAAAGGTACATGGGAGGTAGAGACAAAAATGAACCCTTTTGCACATACAGTACTAAGTTGTCTGTAAAGGTAAACATGGATATATGGGTGGATAGATGGGTGGACAGGCTGAACTATTAGGTATGTCTATGCAGGGGGAAGCGTGCCCAAGACCATGTACAGGGTTGGCAGACCATGTTTCTACAAGTATATTGGTATGTTCTATAAGAATTCCCAGGTATATAGTGGAGCTGACAAGGAACAAGGTTGTATTCACTTCTTGGGCACAGGCAGCTACCCAGAGGAAGCAAACAGTTGGACCTGTGGGCTCAAGACCATAGTTGCAGGAGACATCAAGCTCAAATGGCATAACATACTATACAAAACATTGTTTCACATCCTACTTTGGCGAGTAGCAACTGGGAACATAAAAGCTTGCAAGCAGCCATCTAGGTGCAATGATGGATCTCTCCTCATCCAGAGCAAAGAATGAAGAAAACCAAAGATGCAAGGAAACAATTATTCCAAGTGACTAGTACACCATGCGATGCTCAGCCTATATATGACTATGAGACCAGAACTAGATGGTGCCCAGCTACCACCGTCAACCACTCGGAGGGAGATTTACGTAGGAGATCCTGGATAGAGTGGGAGAACAATGTGGAACAAAACTCAAAATCATTTAAAAAAAGAAAAAAAGGGACCAGATTTGCTGGTCTGGTAGAACCTGATGGAACCACTTAGACTGGGAATTGAACCCATTCCTGTGGCTTCCAGCCAAACAAAAGACAAGCGTATGAGCTGAACATTTACATTAGGTAGATACACTCCTTGGAGAGAACAATCATGGGAGAATAGAAGGGCTATGTATGCACAGGGAGACAGCTCAGGGGGAAGAAGTGCATAGACGGAAGGACACAGCTAAGAGGTAACTGGGGAGGAAGAGGGAGGGGAGCAGTTGCATTGTGGGAAACTGTCATCAATATCATGAGACAATGTATGTGAACAGCTGTATGGAGAGTGAATTTGCTATGTAAACTTTTACCCAAATTACAATTTTAAAAAAGTGAGGATGACTTGAAGCACTTACTGATGAAGATTAAAGACTACAGTCTGAAGTATGGATTACACCTCAATATAAAGAAAAGAAAAATCCTCACAACTGGTCCAATAAACAGCTTCACGGTAGATGGAGAAAAGATTGAAGTTGTCAAGGATTTCTTACTACTTGGTTCTACAATTAATACCAATGGAAGCAGTATCAAAACATCAGACAATGTATTGCATTGGGCAAATCTGCTGCAAAAGACCTCTTTCAAGTGAAAGAACAAAGGTGTCTCCTTGAAGGTGCACATAACCCAAGCCATGGTATTTTCAATTGTCTCTTATGCATGTGAGAGCTGGACAGAGATTAAGGAAGACTGAAGAAGAGTTGATGCTTTTGAGTTGTGGTGTTGGAGAAGAATGCTAAGAGTACCATGCTAAAAGTCTGCTAAAAGGACTAGCAAATCTGTCCTGGAAGAAGTGCACCCGGAATGCTCCTTGGAAGTGAGAATGGCCAGACTGCGTCTCACCTACTTTGGTCATGTTGTCAGAAGGAACCATTCCCTGGAGAAAGAGATCATGCTTGATAAAGTGGAGGATCAACAAAGGAAGGGAAGGCCCTCCCTTGGGCCCTCCCAAGATGGACAGACACGGTGGCTGCAACGATGGGCTCAGGTATAGCAAGGATTGTGAGGCTGGCACAGGACCGGGCACTTTTGTTCTGCTGTACATAGGGTCGCTATGAGTCAGAGACGACTCGAAGTCCCTAACAACAACAATTTTTTTATAGCTATAAAAAGCTATATACATCTGTAATGGGCATAACTACTCCAAAAACATGGGCATGTCACATTTCAAATATGAATAAAAAGCTGGTGTTTAATAAACATTAATTAATCATCATTAATACATAAAACACAGAACATTAAGATTGTTTTTAAAAATAATTGTTTATTTATTGAACCTGGGGCATATTAGATACATAACCAATTTTAAATTTACATCTGTTAATTGAATTTTGCAGTGTTTTCACACACACAGTAAGTAAAATGTCAACAGTTGTCTTCAGGTGAAGCAAAGTCACCTGATCTATAAACTGCTGCAAGTCTTTTCACCCAAGGCTGAAAAAATTGTTTATCCTGAACATGAAAACCTGTAACAAATTTAAATTAATTATATAAAACTCGTTACTTGTAGTTTTCCCCTTGCAAAGATCAAAAAAAAAAAAATTACAAGTAACTAATATGCATCAGTCACAACATAATCCTGGATCACCCCCACACCAAACCAGGTGCTCCCTTAATTTTAAACTCATCATCAGAGACCAAAAGAAATGCATTTCATTTTATACACAATGAAACTCGCATGTGCCAAAAATGAAAAACCCAAGAAGAACAAAAACAAAAACCCTAGAACTGACACTAATGTTCAGTACCCTAACTGAATAGTGGCCCAAAATACCACCGATGAAAAATAAAATAGTGGCTGTATAGCATCACAATGAAATCCAACCTTTGGCATTAGAAATCCAAATTTTTCCAATTACGTGAGTGCATACTTCCTATGTGCCAAGAGTGGAGAATATGGACATACCAGCACAGAAAAAAAAAAGCTACCGTTTGCTGGAACTCGCAGAGATCAGCTTTAACACATACTCCTTACGAGGTCAGGCAGAAACCAGAAAGTGGTTACTACAGCCTATGACATCAATTTAAGTGGAGGTGATTGAGGCCTACGGTTCAATTAAGAACTTAGGGGGTGGGGAAGTGGGAGGGGGGGCCGCAAGTCCTGTCTTTAAAGCAAAAATAAGATAAACAATATATAAAAGTACTCAACCATGGTGACATACTCCAAATCAGACAGCTCTGCCTTTGGGCTGAGAAGAAAATATCAAGATTCAGACTTGTTTCTTATAAAAACTCAACAACAGACTTAACTGCAGGATGACAGTTTCAAAGAGTGCAGTCATTTCAGTCATTCTGTTCCGGATTTGTGCTGATTTCCTGAACAAATTGCGTTTGATTATGAAAAAAGAAGGTATCACAAGGACTATGCTCCTGTATTTCATTAATGGGGTCAGAGTTCTAGAAGGACCTGTATGATGGAGGTGGAATTCAAAGAAGGAATTAATGCCAATCAAATGTCAACTTTCTTAGAAAGGTGTTTTCCCCCAATATCTATTCATCACAAAGAAACATAAGCTGTGAATGTACAGCCAGAAAATAAAAATGTAGAAACTAATGACATTATTGTGACCAAGATGTTTGGTAAACAGTGAGTTATGAGTTTGGGATCATCAGAAAAAGGCTTTTTAAACAACCCTCCGGACTTCAAAAAATCTCTTCAGGTAGTAGATCTGTCCCAATGTCATGGCAACTAGAACAAGAGCTTCAAAGAAGGACCAAAGGACCACTCTGCTGTTTGTGTTGTCATTGACTGTTGAGGACAAAGAAACAAACAAATTTAACAATCAAAAAAAGCACAGGCATTACAAATGATCCCCTAGTGACTACTGCATGAAAGTCATTACTCTAAGCACCATTCATAGTACCCTAAATACTTATCACATTTCAGATTTAAAATGGACAAAGTCAATTCCACTGGGCATAAATATGGGGAGCAGGGAGGAAGAGTCACCCAAGGCCACACTTTAGCGTTAAAACCCAATTCAACCTTCTTTCTCCTTTACCACAGCAATGTCCTACATGATAATAATCTAATCTGCTGAATCAGAAAATTGACTTAAAAACACAAGGGATTACTGACCTATCCAAAAAGCACTGCACACAGAGTCTGAATGGGTCTAAGTGTCTTCTTCCTTAAACAGCTGGTCAGCAAATACTCCCTGAGCATCTGCTATGCTCATGGCATTTGTTCTACAGGGGAGCAGTTTCTCAGCTACTACCAGACAGTCAAGTAGAAGACACATTTTTGACCATATATCCCACTCTCAAGCTAAGAATTTGATTCTTAAAGAAAGAGCCTTGTATTCATTTACTGTCACCATCTTTCGAATTTCTAATCAAATTCTATGGCCTTAACTTTCTTCTGAACTACTCTGGTGGTACAGCAGTTAAGACATTCGGCTGCCAACCGAAAGGTCGGTGGTTCAAACCCACCAGCCACTCTATGTGAAAAAAGATGGAGCAGTCTGCTTCCATAAAGATTTATAGCCTTGGAAACCCTGTGGGGCAGTTCTACCCTGTCCTATCAAGTCACTATAAGTCAGAATCAATGCAATGGCAAGTAGGTTTAGGTAGTGTCCCCTTATTCTGCCAATGGCCAATATTAAAAGTAAATCTGCCAAAGTGCTAATATTAACCAGCTGAATGAGTGTCTGTGTGTATACCACTTGAAGAATTAACTCGAATTATACTATCTATAGGACTATGATCACTCAGTAAGAAGTGAAAAAGCAATCATGTTTCCAAAAGGATAACTTCTTAGTTATTCAAAGGTGGTGATTTTCTTTCCAGAATAAGAACAGCCACATGGCCAAGAACATTAACTAGAACTCTAAACACCAAACTCACTAAAGTTTTATTACCAATTCCATCATCAAATCTCCTTGTGCTAAAAACTCATTGACTGATTTTTAGCATAGTGGTGACTATCATTCAAAGATTACGTCTCAAAGGAGGATGCCTAAGTAAATACATCAAAATATTAAGCAACCATTAAAAGATGCTTTCCAAACCAAACCCACTGCTTCGAGTCAACTGGGCCTCATAAACCCTAGACGATAGATTGGAACTGCTGCATAGGGTGTCCAAGGCTGTCAATCTTTATGGAAGCAGACTGCCTCATCTTGCTCCTTCAGAGTGGATAGTGGGTTCAAACTGTCAACCTTTTGGTTAGCAGTCGGGCACCACTGCACCACCAGGACTCCTTGAAGATGCTTTAGAGACACAGAAAAATGCGTTTCTTAAAGTCACTGAGAAAAACAAGACATGAAATTTTATATACATCATTACTCACTTATGCAAAAATTCTTATTTCTAACAATGAAAAAAAAACCCAAAATATCGGCTTAAGGAAGACAAAAAAAGACAGACTAAAATGTGAATGGTGATTATCTTAAATGGCCAACTAATAGTGATTTTCATTTCTTTCCTCATACTTTTGGGTATTTTCCAAATTGTCTAACTGAACATGTGTTAACTCTTTCTTCCTCTAATTATTAAAGATTGCATCTAAGATATATTATATGCCACATGGTCTCTTATTTGTGAATGGAAGAAGTATTTGTCTTTCCTTTTGCTTATTGGAAATGCATCTTAAAATTTAAATAGAACATACTGAAAAGCTAACACAAGAAAGGAGCCACCTAGAAAGTGGGTGTATGGAAGACACTGTCCTCAAGTCATTCACATATTAGCCCCAGATAGAAGCAACTCAACATTACCACCACTCTGTAATTTAAAAAAAAAAAAAAAATCTCATATGTTTATCTCTGAACATAGAATGCTGGAGGAAGAAGATGTACAAAAACAGACAACACTGTGAGAAACACTTCCTTTGCAAAGTTAAACTCAGTATCTGAGAATTCTATTCTACAAATTGCTAATACTTTTACATTAAGTACTAAGCTCACTATTTGTGATACAAAAAAATACAGGAGTATCTGGGGGCAAATTTAAAGCAGGAAAGTAAGCCCAGCCATCCCCAGACGGAAGGACAGGCACTTCCATACCACTCTCTGTTCCCAAGTCCAAACTAGTTAAAACTGTGTATCATTGAGAGCTCTTAGTCCCCAGACTTGGTTCAATGCCCTTCTCACCCAAGAAGGGGCCATCCTCCACCTGGGAGCAGGTTAATCATCATATGGATACCAACCAAGTAAGAGAGGGAAAGTGGAAATGCCAGCTTGTGAGAAGAAAGGAATCGTGGTGAAGGCAGCACAGCAGTGTGTATACAAGCCCATCCCATGCCCCTCCAGCTGTAAAAAAAGTGGGGTAGGGGCTCCAGTCTGTTCTATTTACACATTCTGCCAAGAAGAAATGAAGTCTGTGGTCTAGCCTGAAAGCTCATTTCTGTCACTGGCAGGATGGATGTAGTAAGGTGAAAAAAAACAAAACTGTACCTTGAAGAAAGTCAAGCTGTTATGTCATTCCTTTCTCCACCCAAACCTTAGAACAAAGACTCCTGATACAAATCACTTTGGACCTAGAGACAGGACCTGCTCCCAGGATGAAAGGCATTGAGCAACAGGTGTGGACTTGGACCTTAATCATGGCAGTTGGTCTGTGCCAATATGGATCTCTTAATTGTAAATGCAAAAGCCTAACAGTCAATGCTATATCATGGGCTAAACAGGCTCATGCAATCTAATACAGGATCCCAATCATCACTGTTTCCCTAGAAAAATATATTCCAAGTTCCCAACTTAGACTTGAGAACCCACACTGATCTTCTACCTGGTGACTGACTATATTCATGTGGTGGTTTCTAGTCTAACTAGCCTGGGATTTCTGACTTAGGAAAAGACAGCTCAATCTCTGCTTACAATATTAATTACACCAGCACCTAAGCAACCAGTATGTGAGTAAAACCAGTGCAATACCCACCTTTTGATATGCTTTCCCTTCTGCTTTAGGAAAACTGTAGGCTTATTCCTTAAACTGGCAAACATTGTTAAAACTCTTGAAAGCTTGTTGTGAATCTTAATAGCATTTTTTTTTGGTTTAAAATGGATTTCACGATAATAAATTGGTCTAGTACAAACTCTATAAATGTGTACTCAAGGAGCATCTTTGCACAGGGGCTTTTCCCCCAAACAGAATTTTCTTTTTTTCCCTTTATTGCTGTTAAGTATGTATCTAACACAGTATGTGCCAAATCAAAGTTTTTCACATGTGCAAGTTAGTGATATCAATGATAACAACCATGCTGCATCCACCGATAACTGTTCCCAAATTTCATCATGCCTAGGTCCTTTTTAAAATTAACTTTAGTATGGTATGTTTGCAAAATTTCCAAATAAAGAAACATAAGCAAGCTCTTGGATAAAAGAACCCGTCACCACCTGGTGTTCACCACAGACACTGCTACAGTCACAGCTCTAACTTACTTGCTCTGTGTATTCTCTCCCGGACTTCCATGTACTCCTGTTCATGCTTTACAGCTGTCATGGCCACTGCTAGCTCGTTAATCATTTCTTCTAGCTTGTTCTGGTGAGCTACAGGAGGATTTCAAAACAAATTAGGTTTATTTGTCAGCCTATGGAAAATACCTATAAAATTCAAATGTTCCTCAATGTATGAAAGAATTCTTTTTAGAAACAGCTCAGACATCATTCTGGACCACTGATGGCAATTTAATTCCCAAAGCGTTTTTTAAAATCCAGTCCCAGTAGAGAAACTTCTTTCAGGGTAAAAATCGTACTATTCAGTGCTTACTAACTAAAGGAAAATAATCTACCCTAAGAAATGTCTTCTCATGTGTTGCTGCTTAATGAAGTTCACGATACTGACTGGTAACCACAGAGAAACAGAGGGCAGAGACATAATTAATGTACTACTTAAAAAAAAAAAAACCTAAATCCTATAAATATCAACATTTAAACAAAAATAAAAATCAACTCTTAAGCATCACCTAACTCTGGTGTTAATTTAAAACCAGCCCAAAAACAGACTGAAATTCTGTGAAGCTTAGTAGAGAACATGGAGGCAGTCCTGTGAAAATCCACACCATCACTCCCATTCTCCTAGCACAGGCAAAGTGGTAACAGCACTACAGTGGGTGACAGCAGGCACTGTAAGTACAAGCTCTGAGCTGCACAGGTTTTCAAGCAGGTATCCGCTTTAACCAAAACCGCAATACAAGGTACACTAACAGTAACAAAGGACAAGCATGTGCTTCCAGGCGGTGCCATATTATGATAATGAACAAACAGAAAGGTAAGAAAGAAACAGAGCAAAAGGGAAAATTCCTCCTAGAAGGGCGAGGAAACCATTTCGTTACTGCCCACAAGTGGGCCTCATCTGGGATTCCCAATGGCCAGATAATCCTCCTTAGAGAAGCCAAAGACCCCCATAGTTGTAAGGTAGTTGGGATGGAAATTTCAAACCATCCCTCAGGAGTGTCACTGTGGAAGTCTCAAGCACACACGCAGGGTTTCTCAGGAGTGGGCAGCACTGCTGATACTCCACACCAAACACTCTGTTGTGAGGGGCTGTCCAATGCTTTATAGGATGTTTAGCAGTGTCCCTGGCCTCCATCCAACAGATGCCAGGAGCACATTCCTCTACCCAGTCCTAAGAATGCTAAATGTCCACCAGGGGGAATATATTGCCCCCAAATGAGAACCACTGCTTTAGAGAAAGGCTTGATTTGACACCTGCCATTCACAGACATTAACAAGCAAAAGCAAAAATTTTAGATAGTGTGTTATTAAAAGATTAAGAATAGTTCAACATTCACGTTTATCAGCCAACATTTTCTAAGTAGACAGGGGCCAATTTGCACAAAATGAACCAACACAGCACCCCAAAACTCCTCCCTGTCCTTGAGAATATGGAGCTCTGGTGGCATAGTGCCTAAGGCATTTGACTGCTAACCAGAAGGTTGGCAGTTCAAACCCACCAAATGCTACATGAAGGAAGATGGGGCAATCTATTTCTATAAAGATTTACCACCTTGGAAAGCCAATGGAGGTCACTATGAGTCAGAATTGACTCAATGGCAGTCAGTTTTTTTTTTTTTTTTGAGTCTCCTTGAGAATTAGCAAGTCCTATAAAGAGTTCTAGGAGCTCTGGTAGCATAGTGGCTAAAAGCACTTGACTGCTCACCAGAAGACTGGCGGTTCAAACCCACCAGCCACTCCTCGGAAGGAAGGTTGGGCAATCCTACTTCCGTAGTGATACTGCCTCGGAAACCCAAGGAGGGGTCGCTATGAGTCGGGGCCGACTCGACGGCATATAACAACAACAACATAAAGAGTTCTGGTGGCATAGTGCCTAAGACATTTGACTGCTGACCAGAATGTTGGTGGTTCAAACCCACCAGCCACCTCCACAGAAGGAAGATTGGGCAATCCACTTCTGTAAGGATTTACCACCTCAGAAATCCAATGGGGGTCTCTGTGATTCGGAATCGACTCGATGGCAGTGAGTAAAAAGCTTGAAAAGTGACCAAAGGAATTTCTAAACAATGTAAAGTCTCTAAATTCTGTAGATTTTCAAAGTTAACAAAAGAGTTCACCTTCTCTACGCTGTCAGTGGCAGCCCTGGGTGGTGCAAATGGTTAACATGCTCACAGCTGAGAGGCTCGAGGTTCGAATCCACCCAGAGTCAGCCTGCAGGAAGGGCCTGGTGATCTACTTCTGAAAACTCAGCCTGTGGAAATGCAAGAGAGCCTCATTCTACTCTGACACACCTGGGGTCCCCATGAGTCAGAATCGACTCGTAGGAACTGGTCCTGGATGCTGGGAGGGCTCTACTAACTGCTGAGTATCTACAACAAATGTTACCACACTAACATCAAAGTGTGGCTGACTTCCAACATTCCTGACATCCACTGTGGTGGCAAAAAAACAGCAAAACCAATGTGCTGGCTCCTGGGAAGTTCACAAGAATCAATTCCAAGTTCACTGCTAGATAGTTGAGCAGTAAAAATTACTCTAACCGCAATATATGGTTGAAAGAGCTTTTATCACCGTATCTAGACATAGCTCCTAGAACTGCATTTCAAATTCAACCATATTACAAGTAAGAAAACATTTATAGTAGAAAAACAAGCCTACAAAGAAGGATATGAAGTCAATAGCACCATTTTAAGCTGTGTTTTAACTAAGCCTTTTACCTGTCCAGTTACAGTTGAGTCTTCCTACCCTTCAGCATTCATTTTAAAGAAACAAAGTAAGATGTCACCACTAAAACATCAATCATGTTTCCAGTGCTATTAATTTAAAATTACTTCACTCAGTTCTAATGTCAACCAAAAAAAAAAAAACCACCAAAAATAAAAATCCACCTAATTAGTTGTAGAGTTTTTTTTTTAAAAAAAGAGGAAAAACATTCTCATGCTATCAAACTGAGGTTAGAGAAAAGAAAAGCAGAAATTAGTTATTAGCCGAAAAATATATGCAAAAGACAAACACTGTCAAAAAGCTGTCCACATACCATCCCAGGTATCTCCACCACCTAGAGGAAAGTGTATGACAGAAACACAAAACACCAACAAAAAGTTTAGCTAAACTAAACTAGTCATGTATACGAATGAACAAATAAAGATGTATATACCAGGAGTGGTGAACTAAGAGGCCACAGTAAGACACCTAAGGTATATGCTGACAAGAGTGCAAATGACTAAGAGAAGCTGCCGGAGTGGCAGGTGTAAAAAACCAAAAAACAGCCATCAACTTCCAGAAAGCTGTTGTTGATTATGAAATTTGGGGAAATACAAAGCATATTTCACAAAAGGTTTTTTTGGTTTTAAGGACAATGAATGAACCTGGGAAAATAAATCAATTAAATATTCCATTCAGATGGATTTTTTTAAAAAAGTGTAGAATTAAAATGAGCTCATGGAATGTGTTATCAATCTTCAGAGTGTTCATCTCACCTTCTGTTTCCATGTCTTGTCCTTTCGGGGCCTCTCCAATATCAATAGTGAACATCACTATCTTTGGAGTCATGGTGGACATTCTATTGCTAAAACAAAACTTGTATGTTCCATCCATGTGAGCAGCAAATGTGTATTTTCCACTGGACTCTCGGTCTCCTTTATAGATTCCTTTATTATCAGGCCCTGTGATCTGAGACAGGAGAGAAAAAAATGAGATGCCAAGAAAGTTAAACTCATAAGCTTCAGACATAATCCCCACTGGCTGTGGGAAATTCAGAGAAAATGGAAGTTTTACTTCAGCAACAATGGGCTCAGGTCTCTCCGGGATTATGAGGCTGGCACAGGACCGGGCAGTGGCTAGTTCTGCTATACGCAGGGTCGCTATGAGTCAAAGCCGACTAAGACGACACCTAACAAGAGTGGCAATAATCTTGGGCTACAGGTCTCCTGCTTAAGGAAACACAAGTGGGCTGCAGGGCTCTGTAAAGCACCTTTCTGCTCCCACTACATTTATTCTTCCAACCGAAAAGCAAACTCCTCCGGAACCTGAAGCCACACCCTAAACATTATTACCTCCAAGTTGCCTAACACCAAGAAACACCAGTGGCTGATAATGTGTGTGGGAGGGGGTGTGTGCAAAAAATAAGACCTCTCCTTAAAACCAGTCCTTCTTATCTGGTGCCCTTTCCAGGTTGTCCTGCCTCTTCACTGCCAGTGAAGCAATCCGGCTTTCTGGGCTGCCTGGATACTTCAGGGCGAGGGCTGCACCAGAAAGCATGAGGCCCCAAGTTCCCCTGTGTCTGCCACAAACCAGCTGAGCCAGCCATAACCTCCTCTAAAATCCCCCGTCACCTGCAAAACCCAAAGACTGGAGCAGCTGATTTCCCAGGTCTTGGCTAAGGGGCTCTGGTGTTACAGTGGGCCAGCCATCAGTTGTGAACCCAAAGAACGGCAGTTCGAACCCCCGTGTGGCCCCGCGGGAGGAAGACGTGGCCGTCCGCTTCCAGAGAGTAAACCCCACGGGGCAGCGCCACCCTGTCCTACAGGGTCCCCTTGAGTCCCCATCCACTCCCGTGGCGGTGGGATTGCTTAAGGTCTGAGCTAATTCCAACCACCTCTCCTCCCAGTCTCCGCGATTTTCACACATATAAATTTTGTGAACATTGTACAAATGTTCACTAAGAGGAATTTCTTAACCGATTCGCCTCGCTAACAGGTGAGTTTAAATATTAAGGACACCTGGTTTCCCAAAAATAACTAGATACAAATCATTCTTTGGAGATCTAGGGGCTGAAGGTTTCTTAAACTCATTTCCTGTTTTCTTCAGATACTTCACTTCAGTCCTTACACCCCAAAACGCTTGACCTACTCTCTCCTACTCCGGGACGGCCAAGCAAGCTACCCCGGGAAAGGTGGCGTGTGTACAAACGGGCAGAACATCCGGGCGATTTCCGCGGAAAACAACGAGGGACGCATCGCGAATGCCTGCCTAGCACCCCCAACAGCTTTCCAATTATTTTTTCCAAGTTTCCACGCCACGTCCAAACATTAACCCGCAACACGAAAGCGAGCAGGCGCTGCCATCATGTCACCGCGAACAAGCAGCGCCTTCTGGGCCAAGAGCGGACACGCGGTGCCTGGTCGACAAAGCTCCGCGAGGAATGCAGACAGGAACCCGCCGTTCCAACCGAGAACCCTAAGCCGTCAAGCAACGGCTCCGTATCCCGTATCCCGAGGGCATCCCGTAGCCCAGAATCCAGGCGGGCCGCGGGGAAGGGGCCGTTAGGCGTCTGCAGGGCAGGGGCGGCAAGGGCCCCTCCCAGGACCCGGACAGCGGCTTCCGACCCCGCTCGCCCCGCAGGCCTCGTTCGAGCACCGAGTGCCGCCGATGCCCGATCTGCCGCGCGATCCCGCCTTTGGCGCGGGCAGCGCGCCCGCACCTCCACGTCGATGTCCAGAAAGCCGCCCTCGGCCACCTCGAAGATGAGGCCCATCTTGGTGCCCGAGGTGACCCGCTCGAAAAAGCACTCCTCGGCATGCGCGTCGATGCTGACGAAGTAACCCGAGGCCGTGGCCAGAAGCGCGGCCAGGAGCACCAGCAGCTCGGCAAGGGTCACCATGGTGGGACTGGGGCCGAGGCCACGACCAGGAGTGCGGCCTCCTGAGCCGCCGCCACAGCTGCCGCCTCAGCCGCCGCCACCGCCTCAGCTCCGCCCTTTCCGGCTGCGCCACCCGAAGCGGCTGATGCGGGTGCCGAGGATTGGCGGGCGCCGGCAGCTGCCACGTAACGGACGCACGGCGGCCGCCGAGGGACATGGCGGCTGCGCGCGGCTGAGCCTGAACGGCGGCTCCAAAGGGCCAAAAACCCTCTTAATTACCACGTAAAACACACGGAAATGTTGCGGTACAGGAAAGCCTCTCTGCTCGATGCAATATAGGATTGTACAAGAAGATGTCGAAAGATTTTGAGGTGGCAATAGGAGTGCGAGGAATGGGAATTGGGGCTGAAGACAGGGGCTTTGAGATTTTATATTCCAAAAACCCACTGCCATGGAGTGGATTCCGACTCATAGCGATCCCCGTTAGGTTTCTGAGGGGTAAATCTTAAACGGAAGTAGATTGCCCCATCTTCCTTCAGTGAAGCAACTGGCAGGTTTGAACCGCCAATCTTCTGGCTAGCCTTAGGCAGTGAAAATCCTGCTTAACTGAACAGGAAAAGCTTAGAGGCAGGTATAAACTGGAAAAGGGGCATGAGGGAACCGCCTGGGATGCTGGCAATGTTGCATCTTCAAAGGAGTGATGGGCACATGGGTATTTACATGTTAAAAAGGTACTAAATTCAATCTATATGCTGACCAAATAATTCGAGAAGCTGAACTACATGAAGAACAACACTGGCATCAGAATTGGAGGAAGACTCGTTAACAACTGTGATACGCAGATAGCACAATATTGCTTGCTGAAAGTGAAGAGGACTTGAAGCACTCACTGATGAAAATCAAAGACGACAGTCTTCAGTATGGATTACCTCGACACAAAACAAAAATCCTCACAACTGGACCGATAAGCAACATCATGATGAATGGAGTAAAGGTTGAAGTTGACAAGGATTTCATTTTACTTGAATCCACAGTCAATGTCCACTGAAGCAGCAATCATCTTGCATTGGGCAATTATGCTGCAAAATACCTCTTTTAAGTGTTAAAAAGGAAAGGTGTCCTTTGAGGATAAAGGTGTACTTACATCAAGACATGTATTTTCAATAGCCTTATACACATGCATATGGTTTTGGTTTTTATATGCATGCCAAAATTGAACAGTGAATAAAGAAGACTGAAGAATCAATGCCTTTGAATTGTGGTGTTGGTGAAGAAGACGGAATATGCATGGCCTGCCAGAAGAATGAACACATCTGTCTTGGAAAAAGTGCAGCCAGAATGCTCCTTAGAAGTAAGGATGGCAAGATTTCATCTCACACACTTTGGACATGTTCTCAGGAGGGACTGGTTCCTGGAGAAGGGCGTCATGCTTGGTAAAGTAGACAGTGACAGAGTGACATTAAAAACCTTTAATGAGAAGGATTGACACAATGGCTGCAACAGTGGGCTCAAACTGCAAGGATTATGAGGACGGTGCAGGACCGGGCAGTGTTTCGTTGTGTTTTACATAGGGTCGCTGTGAGTCGGAACCAACACAGCGGCACCTAACAACAACATATGTTGTTGTTGTTGTTATGTGCTGTCAAGTCGGACCCGACTCATAGTGACCCCTGCTTGGGTTTCCGAGGCAGTATCACTATGGAAGTAGATTGCCCAACCTTCCTTCCGAGGAGTGGCTGGTGGGTTTGAACTGCCAGCCTTCTGGTTAGCAGTCAGATGCCTTAGGTGCTACGCTACCAGAACTCCTAATGACAACATATACTTAAGGCTAATGACTTTTATCTTACTGTTTGTATATAATAAATGAAAAAAAAAAATACCCATTGGAATCCATCTAAATTAGAATTCTCCCAGTTCTCCAATACTACCACACCATACCCCTGTAGTACTTACTAGCTGCTAGGATGTTTCCTCCCTTGCCTCCTGGAAAACTCCTACTCCTCCCTCAAAACTCAAATGTCACCTCTTCTCTGAAATGTTCCTCGACATCCTGTCCTTCCTCTGTGCTTTGAACACAGATTTGTTCCTATGTCATGTGTAGCATTAATCACAATGAATTGTAGTTACTTCTTTAGCAGAGTGGATCCTCATGAGGCACTGATAATTGGTCTATGAATGCTTTTCTCTCAGGCCCTAGCACAAGGCCACAAATGTTTGCAGCTTGTCAAGTAGATTCTAATTCACAGGGACCCCACATGTGTCCAAGAACTATGTTCCACAGGGTTTCCTATGACAGATTTCTAGGGTGTAGAGTGCCAGGCCTTTCCTCCAAGGCACCTCTGGGTGGGCTTGAATCCCCAGCCTTTCAGTCAGCAGACACGCACATTAACCATTCGCACCACCTGAATTGAACTGACCTGGGTTGCTAGTCCACTTTTGCACATAGCCATGTGGCCTTACGTTCGTTCCATCACATCTCCCAGCTTCAGTTTTCTTATCTGTAAAAGGGGGAATGAGGCCTTGCTTAGCTGTTACACTTACTAGAATGAAATGGGATCTGGTAGCATAGTGCCTAAGGCACTTGACTGCTAACCAGAAGGCTGGCGGTTCAAAACCACCAGCCACTCCTCAGAAGGAAGGTTGGGCAATCTACTTCCGTAGTGATAGCGCCTGGGAAGCCCAAGGAAGGGTCGCTATGATTCAGGGCAGACTTGACAGCACATAACAACAACATGTGAAAGTGCTGTGCGAGTTGAAGGGATTATTTCTTCCCAGATCAACAGGCAATAGGGGGCAGTGGTGGTCTAGCATACAACATCAGGTGTCTATTAACAGGTGCAGCTACAGTGCTGAAAGCTTCCTGCCTATGATGATGTGTTATTCTAGTCGTGGGCCCTGAGACCCCGCCTTCCAGACTGTGCAATTGCTTTGGCAGGCGAGGGCTGTGGTGGTACTCTGGGAGCCATCACAGACAGAAACTCAGCCTACAGCCTGCTCCTCCAACCTTCCCAACAAATTTATAAGCCTCTGTATCATTGTGTAGTGCCTAAGGCATTTGACTACTAACCAGAAGGCTGGCAGCTCAAACCCACCAGCCACTCCTCAGAAAGAAGATTGGGCAATCTACTCTGTAGAGATACCGCCTCGGAAACCCAAGGAGGGGTCACTGTGAGTCAAATCAACTTGACGGCAGTGAGTTAGTTTTTTTTGGTTTTGGACATTTCATATCCATGGGATCATACAGTATATGGCCTTTTGTGTCTGGCTTCTTTGACTTAGCATAGCGTTTCAAGGTTCATTCACACTGTAGCATCAATACCTTGCTCTTTTTATGGCTGAATAGTCACTTGTTTGGACACACCACATTTTGTTTATCAGTTCATCCGCTGATGGGCAGGTGGGTTGTTTCCTCTTTTTGGCTATTGTGAGCAATGCTGGATCTAGCTATGCCTGAAGTCCACTCACTGGATGTCTTAATTATGTAACTTGATACAGTCCTCTTGTTTGCTTAAGCCGTTTGAGTTGTGGAAGAGTTCTGACAAATTATGGAAACCCAAAACATTTGAGATGCACATAACTGTATATACGATGCAGAAGTCGAAGATAACTGGGCTTGATGCCTCTTACACTTTAATGTAAGTCAGTTAAATGGCAGCATGGTCTGTTCCTCCTGCCACTGCCTAAGGAGAAATTGTTTCCAAACCATAAAGCACAAGGCTCTTACATCTTAGCCCTGACGCTCACTCAGAAAATAATATTCAATTCCTTTCTGGGAAGGTCTCATCTCCTCATCTGAAAAATGGAGTAATGTCTGACCAGGAAGCCTGCTTGCCTGGCCCCTCAGCAGACTGGGTGAGCTGCTCACATTCGGAGTTTCAATAAAATCCTGTGTGTGGCTCTGCAATAGCCCTTTTAAGATAAAATTCACTTACCATACAATCCACCATTTAAAGTATACCTACTCCTCAGTTACTATCTTGTTATCGAACATTTCACATTTACAACAATAGTAAAAGAATCTACCATCTGCCTGTCTTCCACGTTAAGGACTTGCTGCCAGCAGTAACAGATGACGAGGCGTTAGCAGGGTACGCTGGCTGTGACGGCTGAGGTGAGGCGTCCACATCGCTGGGCCTTCGTTGGCAGTGGTTTGGCAGTGATGTAGCGGTTTAATTTAGCAGTTATGTCATGATGTAATCTGACAGTTAGGGGATGATGAAATTTCACAGTTACGTAATGATGTAGGCATCCTCCATTTTCGTCCAACACCAATTTCGTATGACGTCCTGGTGTTTGGAAGCTCACCATGACAGTTAGTGAGGAGTGGGTGTATACATTTTGATAGTTTTCAGTGTATTTACAGAGTTGCACTGCCACTATTTTAGAATGTTTTCATTACCCCAAGAGGAAACCCTGGACCCCTTAGCGTCACCCCCACCCTCTGCATCCCTAACCCCCACTAATGTACTTTCCATCTCTATGGATTTGCCTGTGATGGACATGCATATAAATGGACTCATACACCATGTAGCCTTCTGTTTGGTTGGTTTTGTTAACTCTTTATTTTAAGAAAAGAAAAAAAAAGTACATTTTCTATTCTTGGCACAAGCTTTCATTCTTTCCAGTGGAATCAAAACCTCCTGATCCCCTTTCCGTGTCATCCCAAACTGGAACTTCCTCTCTTTCTGGATAAAAAACTTGTTCACAAATGAGCTGTGCCATTCGATCACCCTTTCTGACCTCAAGTTTTACTTTGCCAAAATTAACAGTACAACACAATGTTCCCTCTGTACCTTCCCCTATGACACCAGCTCCTTCACCGGTGGAGTGTTTTGCAGTCAAGCTAGAACACGGAGCTCCTTTTTCGTAACCACCAGCAGGTAGGGTTATCTGAGAGTCCATTTTCACAAGGGCTTTCTCCACGGGTGGAACTGTGTAATCACAGGCTCCTTCCAAGTCACGGCCCGCCGTCTGCACAGACCCGTGTCTGGGCCTAGGGAGCTCTGAGGGCCAGGGAAAGTGGACCGCACGCCGCTCTCCTCCGCAGGCCAGGCCCGGTTGCCAGTGTCACTTTGGAGCAGGGCGTAGCGGTGCAGAGAGAGAT